GCTTTTGTCAGCATTGTCCATTTTCTTTCTTGGCCAAGCAGCAATGTGAGTTGAGAGGATGAATGACAGGCTTTCACTTCAGATATACTTTTCATCAGTCCAGTGACTTATGAACACATTTCCTCAATGTATTTGAAGGTCCATAGGTCAATATTACAGTATGACATACTGAGAAAATCTACTAGCCATAAAACATTTTAAGCTTTATTATAATATTATATTTGTGCCAATACAGTTAAGATTGTGTCAGAACTTCCAGAATAAATTTATTGATTTTTTCACTGTTTGATATTTTTGTCTATTCTTTAAACTAAAAACTTCAGTGGAGACACACCTATTTAATTTAACCAAATTACAAAAATATTGGTTCTACTATTTTTCAGAGGTAATAATGAGGGGTAAAATGTTTTCTGGTATATTCTGTCTTCTGCTAGTGTACCAAAATTGTGTCTTAATTATTACTTTTAAATATGTAAATTTAAATCTATGATATGACTTTTGATATATTTCTTGTTCATAGAATCATAAAACACTAGAACTGGACGGGACCACAAGAGGTCATCACGTTCACTCCCCTGCCTTCACAGTAGGACCAAGCACCATCTAGAGATCATCCCTGATAGATGTCTGTCCAACCTGCTCTTAAATAGCTCTAGTGATGGAGATTCCACAACCTCATTAGGCAGTTTATTCCTGTATTTAATCATCCTAACAGTTAGAATGTTTTTCCTAATGTCCAACCTAAACCTCTCTTTCTGCAATTTAAGCCTATTGTTTCTTGTCCTATCAAGGAGAACAATTTTTCTCCCTCCTCCTTGTAACATTCTTTTAGATACTTGAAAACTACTATCATGTCCCCTCTGTCTTCTATTTTCTAAACTAAACAAAGCCCAATTCTTTCAGTCTTCCCTCATAGGTCATGTTTTCTAGGCCTTTAATAATTTTTGTTGTTCTTTTCTGGACCTTCTCCAATTTGTCCACATCTTTCTTGAAATGTAGTACCCAGAACTGAACACAACACTCCAACTGAAGCCTAATCAGTGCAGAGTAGAGCAAAAGAATGACTTCTCATGTCTTGCTCACAATACTCCTGTTAATGCATCCCAGAATCATGTTTTCTTTTCTTTTTTTGCCACAGTGTCACACTGTTGACTCATATTTAGCTTGCGGTCCACTATGACCCACTACATACCTTTCTGCAGTACTCCTTCCTAGACAGTTGCTTCCCATTCTGTATGTGTGAAACTGATTGTTCCTTCCTAAGTGGAGTACTTTACATTTGTCCTTATTAAATTTCATCATATTTACCTCAGACCTTTTTTCCAGTATATTCAGATAATTTTGAATTATGACCCTATTCTTCAGAGGATTTGCAACTCTTCTCAGCATGGTATCTCTGGCAAACTTAATAAGCATACTTGCTATGCCAATATGTAAATTGCTGATAACAGTCCCAAAACAGATCCTTGCAGAACCCCGCTTGTTATATACTTCCAGCATGATTGGAACCATTACTAACTACTCTCTGAGAACAGTTAAACAGCCAGTTATGCACCCACCTTATAGGTCATATTTTCTAGACCTTTACTAATTTTTTATACCTTGTTTTTAAAACTTTTCAAGATATGAAATATTTAGTATCAGGGTAACTAACTGTCTGTCCATGGCTTAAACTATATACTTATATATATTTTTTATCGATGATCCAGTTAATTGAAATGCTTAGTTAACTAAAAGTAGGTTATATCTTTCAGTAGGTAGTATATCTTTCATCACTGAGCAGTTTTCTCTTTTTCCCAGTTTAACTTCTTTAGAAAATTTTAGGTGGCTCTTAAATATTCAGGGACAAAAAAGAATTGTTAGAGGGTTCTACTGTAATTTATCTAATGTGTTTTTTAGTGATGAATACTAATAGGAGCAAAAGTATTCTCGCAATCTAATGAATAAAATATGAACCACGTATTAAAAAAAGGTTTTCTCAAAAGATCAGAATGGTTGTGATCTCTTAAATCAATAATAATAAACATTTATAATTCATTTTAAAAGATGTCTTTAATAACAATTGTTAAATAATGTTTAAAAGATGGAACATATGGACAGAAATCAAGAAACAAACTAATGCTGACACTTTCTCTTATTCATCTGATATAATGGAATCCCAACCTTTAATTTGGATTTTGTGCTTTGCCAGTTAGTGTCACAATATTTATCAGACATTAGTCTGGTTTAAAGTAGTTCTGATTTTTCTTAAAGAACATTGCATTAATTCTAGCTGTATTTTACAGTTTGGTTGCTGATATTGTGGTATTCAACTCTGCTTTTAATATGGAGTCATTTCTTACATCTATTGGAAAATTTCTGAAGCTGATTCCTGACCACAGGCCAAAGGATCTGGAGAAAATAATCAGACCAAAGTGCCAAGTTCTTTATTTTCCAATCAGGTTTCCTGATGTGAACAGGTCAGTACATTTGACTCCATTTTCCATATTATGTCATTTTTTGTTTCAAATGTATCTAAACTGATAGTCCTGGCTGCTAAATTTTAACTGATTAATTCAAGCATTGTTCATTAGGAAATTTGGTTATATGTCACTGTGCTGCATAACTCATTCATTTACAAAAGTATTTCAATAACCTAACGGTAAGTACATTAGGACCTAATCCTGCCCCAGTTAAATCAATAGGCGGTTTGCCAAGCAGTTCAATATTCAGTACATATCATAGGATAGTTTGATGTTAAGTACAAACTACTTTTTTTTGTGTGGCAAAGTTAGAAGACTTTTTACTAGATACTTCACCACTGACAATTTATTAGGTTCATTTTATTGGAAAAACCATCTACTATCTTTTTTCAAACCCTATATAAGTGTTTGTATGAAAAAGATGCAAAAAAAAAAAAAATCCAGAGAACAATAACGGAGATGAGTCTCTGTATGAGAAGCTGTATTTTCTTAAGTATGCTGTAATGATATTCCCTCCCCCCTCCCGCCCTGTGTTTTGTTGCTTACAGTTAGATGAAAAGAATTTCAGCAATGTAGAACAGACCTACGTGATTTTGGAATTAGCTGTAGTAATAGTTGCTCTTTACTTCAGTTAGTACAAAGGACATTTTTTATTACACTTACTGGAGAGCCCATCTTGAAATTAGCAAAGGGTTGTGTTATGTGGCTCAAAGGGAACATTCTGTAGATTCTTTTCAAGTCTGTTTAAACCTGACAAATTTGTTCTTTTTTTCTATCATAAGACACTCTCCTACTCAACAGGAGCTTTACTTCAGTGAGGCTTACACTTACTAGAAATAATCAGTTAACAAAACTGTACTGTGCTCCTACAATATCATAAACGATGCTGTATTTTTGCTGATAAGGATGGAAAACCTAGTAATAAAACTCAAATGACTATGCAGAATCTGGGGTTTGATTTTATTGCAAGTTTCATTCTGTTTAAATACTCACACCTTAAATCTTCAATATTGACCAGCTAGTACATTGCAAATAATTTCAAAGGATTTTCCTATTTGTGGAAAGTTTCTGTAAGGTAGTTATTTAGGTTAGCAAATATTGTTGAAATGTATAGATCTATTTTATGGCTTAGAAAAGATAGCAGGACTCTAAAGTATCTGTAAATATGGATGTCTAAAGTTAAGTCTTTGCACTCATCTTTAGGCACTTACATCCCTGTGGCCTGATTTTCTGGAGTTCAATTCAGAGTTAGCATCTTTAGCCCTGGTCTACTTTAGGGAGTTATTTTGAAATACTTCCCCTTATTTCTAAATAACAAGTGGAACACCCACACTACTAAGCCCGTTATTTTGAAATAAGTCGCTGGTTATTTTGAAATAATACATCTTGCTTTTCACGAGGAATAACGCTTATTTCAAAATCATTATTTTGAGATAGCGGTAGTGTGGACACTCCACAGCTGCTATGTTGAAATAACTACTCTTTAGAGTCATTCAGAGTAATTACTCCTCAGTGCTTCCTGGGGCTCTATGCTGAGGTAGTACATCCACATTAAGGAAGCCATGAACTAATTTTGAGGCTTCCCTGTAGTGTGGACATGCTATTTCAAAACAGTTATTTCAGGAGTTAGTATTTCAAAATAAGTTATTTACAAATAATTTCCTAGTGTAAATATGCCCTTACAAATTACGCATTTTCAATGAGACTACTGATTCTAAAGTCTTTAAGTGCTTTTGAAAAACACACTATGAGTTCCTGACTTGGGTATGCAGGCCTAATATGTATATTGTCACAGAGTACATTAACTTTTAAGGTATGCTATTTTTAATTAATAATTTAAATTTTTATTAAGCTTTGACTTTCTAAGGAATGACAGCTTTCTTATATTACAGATGTTGCATCTGAAATTGAAACTAAATGCCATATTTTCAGCAGTATCTGAATGAATATTATCATGCACAACTCATGGTTTGTTGACACATTTAAAAAAAAAACACTGTTATTTTGTATTAGTAAGACCTGCCGATAAATAGACAGACACACCGATAAATAGATAAATATTCATTTAAGTGCTGTATATGGAAATGAGAAATTGTTATGCTCTCTGGGCAACCAATATCATCACAAAAGACAGGAGCATTGGTTAAAAAAACAAAAAACTTTTCCATAACTTTGAATAAAGTTACTGGTGTTTTGTGCTTTATCAACATCAAGTATACATTCTTTACAATATTATGTTTTAAATAATGTTAAATGCATCTGTGGCAACTGAATACAGTTAATTAATGTAGACTGTATTTACAGTGAAATCTAGATGAATGGAAATTGAAGAGAAAAAGGGTAAAAAATATTGTGGCCAAGCTAAAAAGCAAGATCTTAGCCCAGAGTGCTTTTTGAGTTATTTTCAAATGGTAATTTGCTTTATCCAGACCAAACTCATACAGTGTAAGTAAGTGATTATTTGCATGACTGACAATCATTTGAATGCCTGCAGTCTTTTCTAAAATGAATAATTTTGCCAAGATGTTAGAAAAATATCTTGAAATTCTGAAGGCAAAATTACCAAGGTGATTTTTATGTGTTACTGCAACTTTTGTGTGCGTGTATGTCTATGAGAGAGAGAGATAGAAAGAGAGAGATTATTTTTTTTATTTGAATGTGTTGCAGAGATGTTCCAAAATCAAAGAAGTCTTGTTAGAAATATGATTGATTTGTAAAGGATTCATTATTTTAAGGGAATATTGTGATTGTATGATAAATGCATTAATAAACAATATTTAACCCTAAACCAGAGCCATGAGACTCTAGAATATGAACTTTCACTTGAGTAAATCCCATCATGTATTTAGATGATTATTAACTAAAGATGTGCATGTACCCTAAAAGAGAGACACTGCTACTGCAAATAGACACATTTAGACGTAATGAAGGTATAGTAAAAACTGATTGATGTGTTTTGCTGCAACAGAAAATGCAACAGAAAACACTTTGATGCAGAAACAAACCTTGAATGATTTGAAATCCTCCATCTTATATATGCATAATATATGTTTAAAATAATGTTGCATATGACCTTATAGTGTATTTAAGAACTGCTTTGTCAACAAGCACAACATCTTTAAGATGTATTTGATTTTTATTTTTTAGATATTTGGTATAAGTGCACATCTTTGCTAATTATTGATAGGATCAGGGATGAATTTAGGTTTTTACAAGTCTCTGCAGAGTAAGATATAAAGTCACATGACGTCTTTTTTTAGCCAATTTCCCTCCTTTATCCTCAGTTCACCAGACCCTCTCCTATGGGCTCTATTCTCTCTGCATTACTTAAGCTCTTTCTGTCCTCTGCTCCTAAGGGGGAGGAGGAGGGACAGTTTCCCTCACTTATCTTCCTCATGGGGAAAAAATCCCTATCTCTCCTTTCCTGAGCTTAGGGACACAAAAAAGGTTAGATACCTATTCTGACGTACTGAACAGGGATCTCTTCTATCTGTGGTCCCAGAAAAAGGGAATGAAGACAGACTTATGAGGCCCTGAGCCAAAAATAAGCTGGTCAGTTTCCCCTTTGAAAATGATCAGGCAGTAGCCCTTGTCAGAAACTGGTAAGAGGAGGAAGGAGTCACTGTTCACTAGTAGAACTGGAAATTGACTGACTCCATCCTTTTTTCCTTTTTCCCTCACCCCACCCCCATCTGTATTTATTTAGAAACTGGATCTTTAATAACTTCATTCATTTGAAGAAGTGGGTTGTGCCCACGAAAGTTCATGATACCATCTACATGTTTTGTTAGTCTCTAAGGTGCTGCAAGACTATTCATTGTTTTTCTATTCTGCAGTGTCAGAGCTAGCCCTGATGTAATAATACTGTATCACTTAATTTTCAATTTGTATAGTTTTACAGTCTGATATAGGATATATGTAAAAATAACTATCTTATCATAATTATAAAATTACAAAAGAAATAAAATTCTGAGTTAAGACTGTCACTCCATGGTACGTAGGTATTACAAGGGATGCAGAACAGTAGGTGATTTTACATGCCATATGTGCTGCCATATTTCTGTACAACACAGTGAGTTAAATACAGTGTAACTCAGAATTACTATATAATGTCTTTTTGTTTAACTCAGAATCTCAATTGTGTTGTAACCGAATATATAGTATCAAATTTGTATATTTGCTTTTTTCATTTTTAAAAATGAGGAGGGGGCACAAAACAAAAATTCCCTTCTAATGAAATTTTTGTCCATGGACCTTCAAATTCAAGTAAGAATAACTAAAACAGTTATGTTTGTTCATTGCTGATACTTTGTACTGCTTGTCAACATTTTGATTTCTATGGTCCATCTGCATACAGAGCACCTTCGGCTCAAAAGCAAAGCAGGGTCAGACTAGGTCAGTTCCTGAATGGGAGACACTTTGGTATTAATTTAGATGAAATGTGCTATATAAATGTCAGTTGCTATTAATACTGTCCTAGCTGTAGTAAATCTTCATTATGCAGAGCCATAGAAGATATATAATTATAGCAATAGAGCTATAGATAAGGTTTAACAAACATTTTTTAAATTATATGTGTTGTATGTTTTTAGAGATTACAATATAAAGGACAGATGTAATAACAGATAAAAAGAGAAGATATGAAAAGACTAAGATTATAGTAAAAGAAAACATCTTTTTTTTTTAAAGTCAACTTTGGTAGCATCTTGTACTATGCACACTTTAAATTTGATGTGCTGAAAATATAAAACTGTCAACAAACAGAAGACTCATAGGCACAAGTGGTTAGACTTTTACAAGAGCTGAGTATAGAACCCATTCCCACTGGAGTGTGTGTAGTGAGTTAACATAAGATAGAGAAACTGTTGGACTGCTCTGTCTTATATTGGGGCTGCAGCTGGAGCCAAGGCTGTCATAGCTGGCTCCCTGACTACCTCCATCCCCATCCCATGTGCTAGGTAATTTTGACATTTAAAGTTTACATCTACTGTGTTACA